AGAGAGAGAGAGACAAAGAGACAGAGAGACACAGAGACAGAGAGACAAAGAGACAGAGAGGACGTCTCACTGCAGAACTAAGAAAGTACCGATAGCAGAACCAGTAACTCTGGACCGCATCGATACCAACAGGTTTTTACTCATTTAGAACCGGTTCAGAGAAGAATCGGGTTTTGGGGGAATCCCTAATAATAAGAATATGCTAACAAATGAAAGCTAATCACTTTTAGCTGCTAATGTATTTTAAAGATTTTGGAACTTCTTGTATTGCTGCTCAAGAAAGACTATTTGTTTACATACGATCGGTTCTTTTAATAATTGTCTTTGTTTCTCACAAAATAATCAATATGAACCAATAAGAGTATCGATAAGGGAGCTAGTATCGATAGAATCCTAACGATTCCCGTCCCTGCGTAGAATAAAGAGCCACAATGGGTCAAAGAACACAGGACTTTCACCCAGGAGACCTCTGGTCGGGTCCCCCTGAAACCACAAGTCAGCAGAGACTCGTCTGAAGTGACGTGGCCTTAAACTGCGACTCTTTACTCCACATAGAGAGGTCGCTGTGTTGCCTGAACATAACCTGAGGGACTGAGTCTGTGATCCTGATGACGAACAAACTGAAAACAGAACAAAAGAGAAAAAAAGGCAAATACAGTCGGCCAAGTTGAACTTAACAATAACTAAAGTAACAACTGTTCCCTTGATGTTAAACCTCTGAAACTTATTCCGTGTAATAAATCAATGAGTCCTCCATGAAGGTTATGATCTTTAGCTTGTGTTCTGACGGCTTCCTTCATGCTCCTCTTTAATCGTGTTGTGTATTTATTATTGACGGGAGCAGAGAGAACAACTGAACCCAACAGCTTTTAAAATACAGTTTTAATCACGGTGTCGCAGACAGACGGGTCTAATAAAACATGATGAGAGTAGAACACAGGTCCAGTTTACACAGTGTCCTCCCACCAGCGCCATTAATCATTAAGTGTTTCACGTCTGTGAAAGGATGAGCTCTCTAGTGACAAAACAACAACGTCTAATTATCTTTTAGTTTCCTGTATGAAGATCTTTTGACCTCGATGTGAGCGGCTTTAAGTCTCAGAGCTTTAGATCCAAACTCCAGATTTATGGTCCACACAGAACGGATCCATCGCTCAGAGAGAAGTCTGCAGATCAACCGGCAGCGTCTGTGTTTCTGTGAGTGATGAGTGGAAGTCATCGGGCCTCACGCACATGTTCCTAAACTTCTCTAAACCTTTAGTCAGCTAAACCTCGTGTTCGTGACAACGTTCATCAGATCTTTAGCACAATAATTTATAAAATAAATGTTACTTCTAACTTCATGCATGAGTGAGTTCATGCAAAAGTACTTTACAGCATCGAGGTAACAAGGAAATAAAAGGAAAGCAGGAAATATGACAGAAAAATCAAAAGTAAAGAAAATACACCGACAGAGCTCCACAACCTCAACGGGACAGAAAGAAGTTCTGTTTCATTGATTGTTTTTTTTTAACATCTTGAAAACCAATATTGGATTTCAAAGATATAGTGACGATGTTTTTAGGTGTTGAGGTTCTCCTCCATAGATCGGTGTTTTCAAATTCACCAAAAGTCAAACAATGTCACAAACACAGTAACAGATGGAGGCAGCAGGAGACCAGCTCCTGTGTCCTGAGAGGTAGAAGCAGTGCTCTGCTGTGTTTGTAGAGATCAGAGACAACAGCTTCTGCTCCTCAGGAAGATGAAGAGCTGAAGACATTCTAAATGAAGCGTTCACTTAAAGTGACATAGATTCTGTTATGAGTCTAGAATACGTCCACAGCAGAACATTACTTTGCTCAGTAGAACTGTGACTCTGGAGAAGAGCCACAGACACACACACACACGCACACACTCACACACACGCACACACTCACACACACACTCTACTAAACATCTCTACTGTCTCTTTAACTACTGGAGCGGATTGCAGCTGTTTGTACGAGTGGTTGTTGCATGAGGCCCTTTGTTATGAAGAAAAGTGGAGCCTCTGAAACACACACACACACACACACACACACACACACACACACATCTTCCCTGAACCGACATGAGAGCTTTGACTCCCCCCCCCCCCTGTGCTGGGAGCAGACTGAGTGCTGCAGTTTGTGTCACATTGTTCTGACCCGTGTTCTATCAGCGCTCATTCATTCCACAGCATCGTGCATCAGCACTGTGCATGAAGCTCTGGCCCGCTCTCCCAGGCGGAGGGTTGAAGCTAAGCTACGTTAGCTTTTCTGGAGCTGGTTCACTTGCTGGTAATCAGGGATGCACCGACGTATCGGACGGTTGCGTGGATACGGTCCGTCAGCCAGCGGAGAGAAAAACATCTGCTCCTCAAACTCCAGGGAAACAATTTCATTTGAATTAAATAAACTTTATTAACTTTAAATCTTCCTGTTTCAAATTAAAAGTTCAATTCTTAAGCAATGAAATCTCAATACAGTACACTCATTATGACTTAAACAACTAGTTCACTTTATTACTCACAGAAACATTAAATATATAATAAATAAATATATGTTTATTATGTATAAACATATTTATATTGTAATATATATATCTGATATATATATATGTTTATAAAATATATATGTAGAGAATATATTTATCATCAGTCATCACTAGTTCATGAAAAAGCTGCAAAATCTTTTTTTAATTGTTATAATAAAATAACTATAAAATGGTGAAGAAATCATTAAAAAACGTTTTGTATTGAAGCAGATCACTTAAGACAAATAGTGTCTCTCAGACAGATGTGCTTCATATCAGATTTATAGTAAAATAAGTAAAATCACTTGTTTCATTTCTTTAATGTGTAATAAAAACATTACATAGAAGCAGAATGAGTCCGTATCGATGTCCTCAGAGAGGAGGCGTCTGATCGCGGTGCATCCTGTTAGTGCCTCATGAATGCTCCACTGCTGCCTCCTGATTGGCTAATCACTATATGCTAATCGCATGTTCTGTTTTTTTCTTTCTTTCTTGCACTCTCACCACTTCCTGCCTGCTCCACCTCTCAACCCATCCGACATGCTGCTTTTTCTTTTTTTTTTGTACAATTTCCCTGCTGTGTTTTTTTGTTTTGAATTTTTAAAATGGGAATATGTGGTGTTCCTCTCGGCTTCTGTCATTGGCTGACTCTGCCGTCATGTGTCACGGTGCATGGCAAATCGCAGCCCACCCGGCGGTTCTTCATCCCCCCCCAGTCCCCCGACCTGTGTCAGTCCCCCAACTGCAGCCCCACCCGCTCCCCCGAGGTCCGCCTCAACGGGGTGGGGCCGCGCACGCCCAACTCCTACCAGCCAAAGATGGGGTCCCCCCTCATGCACCCCCGCACGCAGACCCTCCCCGCCAAGCCCAAAGTGTCCGAGAAGCCCCTGCAGACCACCCGGTCCAACCCGCTCCCCAACACGGCCCAGAGCCCCACTGCCCCCAAATCTGAGCCCTCCACGCCCTGCAACCCCAACAGTCCCCGGGTGAGACGCCACCCTCCCCTCACCGTCCCCCCCAAGCTGTCCATCCCCCTCTCCCCCGTGTCCCCTATGTCGCCCCGCCGCCGCCACCACCACCACCACCTCCACCTTGACCACAACGGCAAATCTGTCCCCATCACGCAGGTGACCCCCCCCCCCCCCCCCAGAGGAAGCCCTCTCCCCACCCCCAAAGGCACCCCGGTGCACACGCCCAAGGACAGCCCGGCGGGCACGCCCAGCCCGACGCCGCCGCCCAGCCCGTCCATCGGCGGCATGCCCTGGAGGACGCGCCTCAACTCCATCAAGAACAGCTTCCTGGGCTCGCCGCGCTTCCACCGCAGGAAAATGCAAGGTGGAGTAGATTTTCAGATTAAAAGTCTTTAAGATATTATCTCTTTCTTATCTGTGTGTTTATGCATCAGACTGCTCGTAGCTCAGGGGAATCCTCCGTCACCTGCTGCCTCGGGCCGAGTCAAACACCAGATAACCGTCTCATCACAGGAAGTGGAACATTTATTCAGCTTTAATCCCTCCAGACCAACTGAACGGAGCCGTGATGAGACCAGATCCTCTCGATTTATTTACTGTATTCATGTGAAGTAGAAGCTGGAGCGCTACATGTGAAGGCGGGAGGAAGTCAACTCTGTGATCTGTGACCTCTTACTTCCACAGTTCCCACCCAGGAGGACATGTCCAGTCTAACTCCAGACTCTTCTCCAGAGTGAGTAACAAGTCTGCCTTTAAAACTGTGTTGTAGTCTAAATATTGTGGCCCACCCAGCTGATGTGTTGTGCCCCCCCCCCCCCCCCCCCCCACAGACTGGCTAAGAAGTCGTGGTTCGGTAACTTCATCAACATGGAGAAGGAGGAGCAGATCTTCATCGTGATCAGAGACAAACCTCTCAACTCTATAAAGGCCGACATCGTCCACGCCTTCCTCTCCGTGAGTCCAGACCTCCATCATCGATCCTCTTCTTCTCTCGGCTCATATTAAGATAAACATAAATGAGTTTATGAATCCAGTTTAGAGAGCCGAGGCCAGACTGCTTTCCCTCAAACAGAGAGCATGAACGTCATACTTCTATATCGATATTATACAAGATCACTGCCACTAAAGAACATGTTTCATGTTGAACACCCATCATTATGTAAATGTATTTAATGAGGAAGACCAGCTGCTTTCATTGTTTATATGTCAAAAGTTTTATTTAAGTATTACATTTTATTTTTAAACATTTAAACATTGTGTTCTGGATGAAAAAATTGTCCCCAGATAATAAATACAATTATTCTGCTGGTTAAAATATTCATATTTAAAGCTCAGTGAAGAACTATTGTTCGTCTTATAAACATGTTTCATCAACAAACAACAACATGCGCCTCTTTTTAATAACCATCATTAATAAATGTGAAATTCAGCTTTAATTAAACTTTAGTTAATAGTTATTTTACTGTTAACAAACAATGAAATGTTTAACAATAAGCTATGTTATGTTATTTATCTAATTGTATCACTATTTGTTGTAATATGGAATAATTATATATCATGTAATATATATATATAATGTATAAATGATATCTTATTTAATAGCTGAAGAGGCGAAAACAATTCACAGTTTATTATTATTATTAACAGTTTATTGCTGCACACATTTTACTATATTAAGTATTATTTAATAATTTTTAGTTAATGATTTGTAAACCTTCAAGAAATCGTTTGTAAAACATCTAAAAATCTTTGTTACACTTTATTAATCGTTATTGATCGGTTTGTAAACATTATGTGGATGTTTTTTAAAAAGGTGTTAATGATGATTATAATAACACACAAATATTATATATAATTTACCAATTATAGCTAATAACTAGAAAACATTCATTATCATTAAAAACAGTAAAATAACTTGACTAATGTTTAAATTACTCTCAATTGACCATTTATGAATGATTATTTAGTTAAACTGAACAATGATACTTATTCTGACAGAAACAGTTTGTTGTCGTTATGTCTCAGCTGTCAATCAAACACACAGAAATGTTCCTTTAAAGACAACGTTATTCTTTCTTTCAGTTATATTATCATACAAACAAACTCAGAATAACTTCTCCACTCTCCTGTGAACATGTCTGACTTCACGTCTCTGTGCAGCGTCTTCTTGATGGCCGTCTTTTCTCGTCTCCGACGCTGACTCTGCAGAAACGCTGTGACGTGTTTGAATGCAACGTTCTGCTGCCGTCTCTCCCCTCACGTCTCATGCACAAGATGTTTGCCCCCCCCCCGCCCCCCGCCCTCCCCCCTCTCTCCTCCCCCTCAGATCCCCAGTCTGAGCCACAGCGTCATCTCTCAGACCAGCTTCCGGGCGGAGTACAAGTCCACGGCCGGTCCCACGGTTTTCCAGAAGCCGGTTAAGTTCCAGGTGGACATCACCTACACGGAGAGCACCAGCGCCACCAAGGACAACGGCATCTACTCCGTCACCTTCACCCTGCTGTCAGGTAAACACCACACGGTCACTGGCTGTCAGGTAAACACCACACGGTCACTGGCTGTCAGGTAAACACCACACGGTCACTAGCTGTCAGGTAAACACCACACGGTCACTAGCTGTCAGGTAAACACCACACGGTCACT